AGAGAGAGAGAGGGAGAGAAGGTCTTCTACATGAGAGGGCTCACTGAAGAAGCCCCATGGTGCCATGTCCCAACCCCATTCCAATAACCCCCTGCATCAAACATGCCAGACCCATCTCCTCCACTCACTTGCTGCTGCCACTGCAAACCCCCCATTTCCTGAAAAGGAAACCCTAATTCCTCTCCTTCTTCAACCTTTGGGTTCAAAGAACAAAAGTTGTAGAACCCCATGTTACCAACCCCATACTGGTTTTGCTGAGACACTTCCTGGTTCGAATTCTCCAACATCAAAGCCTTATTGGGGACTTCAAAACAACTTCTTAAGCTCTCCAAATGTGACAAGAATCCAGGATTGGTGGTCGCACTGGGGTTTCCGAGAATACCAGAAGTGGGATTAGGGTTTCCTAAAATGGAAAGTTCAAGAGATGATGGAATTTGGGGTGCAGAAGAAGAAGAAGGAGGGTTTTGATGGTCAGGTTGTTTCTTTGGTGTTGATCTCTTGTTCTTTCTGCAACCTCCACCAACTGGTACATTTCTTAATGATCCACCTTTGGTCCAGTAACGCCTACAAGCTTTGCAGAAGTATCTAGGTTGAGAGAGGCTATAGTTGTTGTAGTAACAAAACTTGGTGTTGGTTGAATCACATCTAGGGCATTTTAGTGCTTGTTCAGGTTGGGGTTTGAGCCTTCTCTCTTGTTGCATCAATGATGATGAAGATGGCATTGAGGATGTCATGTCCTCTAAAGATTGGCCTCCCATGCCCTGTGAAAGACCCCACCTTAAATATCAGGAAGAGAGAGAAAATGAGAGGGGGGGGAGATTTATTGAGTAGAAAATGATGATCCGCAAAACTCTCACAAAGTCATCTATTTAACTACATAGAAGGTGCTTCTAGTTATGAGAGAGCTTGGATATAAAATTTTCATAATTTGTCTCTTGAGAGAGAGAGAGAGATATTGTAAATAACTGTAATATACAGAACATTCACATCTTGAACTTGTTAGCCAGAGACAAAACCTTTTACAAATTTAACTTGTTATCCATAAGAGAGGTTTTCAGTTTTAACCAATGACAAATTTAAAGAAACAGCTTTCCCAATTTTGTATCTTGATAGCCAGAGGGGGGAAGAGAAGGATGCATGTTATCAGTTTGAAGGAGTAACAATCCACAAATTTCCAGAGATATAGAGAGATTACTAATTCTGAAGAGAACTTTAACAGTTTCGGAATGTGCACACCACTTAGGGTATGGAAAGTGGACAAAGGATTAAAATACTGATATAGCATTAAAATTCTAATATAGAACTGTGAGATTCACAAGCATGCAACCCTAAGATATTAGATTAAAGTAAGGGATTATGATTCTTTAGGGATTAGCATTGGTTTACTCAGTGCAACACTGAGTTCCATGGATGAACACTTTATGCAGCTTTTTCTTTGGCAAGAGTTGGAGGAGATTCTTCTATGCTCTCTTTGTTACAGTCTAGAGAGCAGTGATAAAGAGAAAGTGGATCAATTAAGAACGTTAGTTGAGTGTATGAATTTGTCCTCTGCAACTCAACTGAATCCATGGATTAGGTCTTCAAAACATGAAACCAGCTCAAAGGAGCACCTCTTATCAAAATTGGCCTTGTAAGTCCACTGCCAACCTCTGATTTTGCAGAGATAAAACCACCCACCCACTAGAGAAGCAAAAGATGGAGAGTCCAAGCTCTAACACAAGGCCAAAGAGATCAATGAAAAACGACCATACCCACTAATAAATTGTTGATCAAAGGATAAAAATATGAAAAATTAAGATGAAATTGCATTCAAACCTTAAGAATAAGAAAAATCAAGACATAAACTCAACACAAATCATATCCTATATAGACTGAGAAACTGATCATATTCCTTAGAGAGAAAGAGAGAGAATTGTGTGATGTTCTACTTTACCTGGTGATGGGCACTTGCAGGATCCATGCATGCCTGAAGAGAGGAAGTGAGCGCCATGTGGAGGAGGAAGAAGAATAAAGCAAGGAATAGACACCCAACAAGTAGATAGAGAAAGCTAGAGACAGTGCGAGAAGTGGCTTAAGAAGAATAAATAATAAACAAAGTGAGGCAATGCCTTCTTTATGTGTATATATAGAGGGAAGAAAGAGAAAGAGAATAAATTATGTACAATAAACAAAATGAGGGACTGCCACACTAGGATTTGAAGCGGTCTCCAAGGTAGAGAGGGGTGGTTGTTATTGGGATTAGGGCAAGGAGGAGGTGTAATGATTACTTTCCGTACGGGGTGATCGATCCGTTTGGCTTGCACGCAGAGAAAGCGCATGGAAAATTCGAGTCGATCGGCCCGCCCTTCCTTAACGGATTCATGAGAGAATGTGGGCCACCACGCCTAGGACCACTTGGACCGACGAACCTCTCAAATAATTCGCCCGCCCGCCCGCCCGCCCGCCCGCCCGCCTTGTAACGCATTCAGTGAGAGAGAGAGAGAGAGAGGGTATTTTACATGTAATGCCCATCACTTGCTTACTCACGTGATGCATCGTACTATTCCCATGCTTTTTGGTTTTCCCCTAGCTATGATCATAAGGTACCCTAGTAAACACCCAATGCACTTTCTAACTCTCCACAATTATCTATATATATATATATATAAAAGGAAATGATAATACTAGACCCTCCAACATTTATAGGTGTAGGATTTCATGGTTATCATTAAATTTTACATAAATCTCCAGAAAAGTCAAGTCTCACTCTCATGTAATAAATTTTTTAAAGATCTGTGTCAAATTTAATGGTGATCCTATGGGATCCTATACACATAGGTGGGGGAGGGTCTTATAGGATCATTACTCTTATATATATATATATTTATTTATGTATTTTTTTGGATAAAGCTGAGGCTCTGAACAATCAAATAAGAGCCAACTTTCAAATAGTATCGAAGAATATGGTTTCAGTACTAGAAATCTTTATGATAGGTTTAAAATATGTTTTTATCTTTAATTGTAAAATTTAAAGCTTCAAAAACAATGTAGATCGAGTAGATCTATATAAACTTTATAATCCTGAAAATTGAAGGTCCAAATATGCATTACAAGATGCATTTTTCCAAAACTTGAAATCCATTGTTTTCTCATGTCCATGCATCTTGGTATTAAGATGATCAATTTGAAAATATTTGGGCATTAAAACAACAACTTCTAATGAAATTTTTGAGATGGGCTCTAATTTGATTGTTTAGAGCCTTGGCTTGGCTCTATATAAACCTTTGTTTTTTTTTTTGAGATAGTTTAATCGTGATGGGTCTTTTATTTATAATAGAAATAGAACTCAAGATGTCATAACGACTTACTGCTCTTAAATAAAAAACCCGTTTTCATATCCAATTGCTGATGCTTTTGTATTAAGTTGTGAGCGTTGTTCTAGTGACTACAACAAACATAGGAGCAAAGGAAAATTTCAGCTTTGGAGTAAATCTTTAAAAAAATTGAACTTTTCGACTAAATGTTTAGATGTCTAATTCAAAATTTTATTTGAACCCAAAGAAAGAGAAATTTATCAAAATGCATATTTGAGGGTTTACCCATTTCAACTATTCTTGGTAATGATCATGGGTATTTGAACGAGGGCTTTGAAAATAGATAAAAATATGGATAAATGGTTAAATAATTTATTTTTAATGCAATAAATTTCTCAAAGAAAAAGAGGAACTTACGACAAAATACACATCAATCATTGTAATATAAAATCTGCTAGCTTTCGCTCAATAACGCCAAGGACAAAAGCGTCAAAAGCAAGCTTCCTACCAAACCGCCATAGGGACTGAATGGTAATAAGGGCCCAAACAATTTTTAGAGAGAGAGAGAACGAGGGTAGGCTGCAAGCTGGTCGGTGCACGTGGGCCCCGCACCCAGATGCCCTTTGTCGGTCTTACACGTGTCCGGCCGACGTGGCGGATAATCATTGGTCATGGCCGAATATTTGGGTGACCGAGAAAGGCCGCGCGTGTGGGTCCCGCGTGCGAGTGGGGGGTGTGTGGGGGGCCCAGGGCTTCCCTCCCCCTTAAGCAAAGTATCAGAAGCTCGTCTCCGGCTCTTGACACGTGTTACGTCACAGTTGGCACGTGACGCGCCGCTCTTCCGTTACGGAACGGTCCCTGGTTTCTTCTTCTTCTGTTTGAGGTTGAAGATGAGAGGCCGTAGATGAGAGGCCGTTCGAGCGGGAACGAGACGCCCTCTTTAGCTGTCGCCGTCGTGGGTCCCGCCCACTCACACAACCCGCTCTTCTTCGTTCCATGCACAGGTGGTGTACGACTTGGTCCCCAAGCATACGTGAGAGTATCGTGTAGGATGTTAGAGGGGTGTTGGGCATGCCATTTGTATGCCGAGGCTCTAAACAATCAAAGTAGAGCTAACCTTCAAATAGTATTGAGAAATGTGATTTCAATACTGAAAATTTTGTAATAGCTTTAAAATATATTTTATCTCTAATTATAAAATTTAAAGCTTCAAAAATAATGTAGATAGAGCAGATCTATGAAAACTTGAAAATCTTGATAATTGACAATCCAAAAATACATTACAAGATGCGTTATTTTCAAAAATTGAAATCTATTTTTTTTCTCATATCATTTTTATGCATCTTGATGTCGAGATGATTGTTTTGCGGATATTTGGGCATCAAAACAACATCTTCTAGTGAAATTTTTGATGTGGGCTCTAATGTGATTGTTTAGAGCCTCGGCTCTACATAAAAATTGTTCACTTACTTTTGGTATAAGGTGGTCACAATTGATATGGACTATTGGATGTGTAATTTAGTGGCTGCATTTATTTTATTTTATTTCTTTTGAGAAAGAAAGATATTCATTAAGGAAATGAAATTACAAGAAAATAAAGGAAAAGGAAGATAAAAACCAAAAAAAACAAGGGGAACAAAAGGTGAACAGAAGACAATGGCAGCTAGGGAGAAGTAGCCAAAACAACCAAATAATATTCCTTTGAGGTAGCACGTTTGCGAATAAGACTGAAAGAAGTATCATGATCCCTTAGTGCCCAAAAAATTTTATCCATGATTCCACTAAGAATCCATGGATGCATTTATTTCATTGTTCAAGTTCAAAGGAAATTTTCTCTTACTTCATCACATTGGATGGTTATAAGTAATTGTGACCCTCTTGTACCAAAAGTAAATAGTCTCATTGTATACAATTCTTTTTAAAAAAACTATGTTTGAATTAAACTAAAATTTTGCATATTGGAAGATCTAAAAATTAGCCAATTTCAACCATTCATTAAAGTTTTCATTAATTATATGGCAATATTTGTTAAATGAACGAGGTTTCAAAACTATGGCTCATCTATGGTAGGGCAAAATCAAATTCCTGGGTGCCAAACAACCCTCAGTGTTTTGTGAAATTAAATGCTCCTAACTTAAGAATATTTTTAGGACGGTAAATTCTAAATTTTGGGATGTAACTTATACAACCTAGGGATTATCCT